GTACGACGCCAATATTGGCGTCGCATTAATGTTCACCTGCGATTAAATGGCGAAAATTTTCGCGTTCGGTTGGAGCGACGGAACGACTCCATACACTCATTTAGCGTTCGATTGGAGATGCCCTAAGCTCCAAAAGATACAAGTAGTCATATATTTCAAATCCATATACATAACTATTGGATTTATATATATAATTCAACATAAGATACATATCCAAACTCCTCCACACCACCCTCCAATGAGTGCTATTTTGAATTATCACTATAAATTTTTTTTATAATAATTTTCTCCTCAGTGGGAGAAAATTGGAGCTTCAAAATATGATGATTTTTTTATTTATTTATTTATCATAATCTCCCAAAATGAAAACAATCAACTCTCCTTTAAAAGGAAGACCAAAATTTTATCGTAGAGATTGAAAATCTTGAATGCCACTCACAACTTATTAATACAGTGATTAAATGCTCCTAATAGAAAAAATATTAGAGCGTGTAAGAGGGATATGCACCATCAATCTGGGATAGTATTTACTAAAGTATGCAAATGAATAATTATGTATCACATAAATTGACATTTTTTAGCCTCTTTTGAGAGATGGAACCAAAATCCAATGTTTTAAAATTGGACAGGACCGACCGATTCAAACGGTTGAACCATGAAACAATATGCCAGTTAGTCCAATTCATTCCCAAAATTGGTTTTGCAATGAATCAATAATTACCGTTTCAAACTTACAGTTCGATCGATTAACTGCAGGACTGGGGCAGATTTTCAAAAACTCGCTAGAATCTATAAAAAAATTAATAAAGAAAAGTGAATTCATATCATACCTTTGTTGATAAAGAATAAATTGTTACACTTGAAGGAGTGCTAGAACATACAATGTGTTATGTGGATACGTATCACCTATTAAGAATAATGTTTTATTGGAGCTAGTGAATGGAGAATTATAAAGGTTGTAGAGAGCCTCTCTTAAGATAAAGAATTGAAATTTCAATAAGAGAGCATCTATATTTGAAGAGGGGAGAGTCAAAGTTATAAAAATAAAGGAAAAAATAAATATGAAACATTTTGAAAATACAATTTTTTGAAAAAGAATGAAAAGTAAAAAAAAAAAAAACCCCTCTTAAGGAGAAACCAAACAATACCTCTACCCTATTGATTTATCTCTCTTTGAAGGCGCTTTGGCCACATGGACATGTCAATATTGGACCCGACCCGAAAACCCGACCAAAAAATTTCGGGTTTGGGTTGACCCGAACCAGAAGCGGATCGAGTTCGGGTCCTGAAAACCGACCCGTTTGAAAAATCGAGTCAGGTTCGGGTTGACCCGGGAACCCAAGAATAACCCGAAATGACCCGGAATGCACACAAACCCCTGCCTAGAATGACCTTGCCCGCTTCCTGGCTGCCCCGCCTGCCCGACGCCCGCCTACCCGGACACGTCACATCGGGTTGCGAACTTGCATCCCGAGGCCAGGTCGCAATGTCCGCGTCGGAGTCCCGAGG